CAAACAAACATATATAGTTGAAGATATGATTGTAGAAGTGGGTTGATCTCGTTGTCGCAACTTGGTCTTGTTGTTGTCAGGGCGAATTAGTGGAACGCACCTAATCCGAAGTCGTCTGGCATAGCAGTTGTCATGATTCCCAGCATCATACAGCCGAGTTGGTACCTTCCCAAACGTTTCGGCATCATCAGTGAGTGCTGCCATTCTCCGCACCAATCTACGAACTCGTCAAAGAGACACACTAGATTTGCCACAAAAGGGCGCACATTTTGACGAGTGGAATGCAACCAGGTGAGTAGTTGCGAAAGGGTGGGAGTGGGATTAGGGGGTAAAGAGTAGATAGATAGACAATGAAAGAAAGAGGAGAAAAGTTATGTATAGTTGAGTAGCTTAGAGTAGAGTTGAGTATAGATGAGTAGAGTTGAGGAGAGTTGAGCAAAGTTGTATATAGATGAGAAAAATGAGTAGAGTTGAGTAGAGTTGAGTAGAGTTGAGTAGCGTTGAGTAGAGTTGAGTAGAGTTGATTAGAGTTGAGTAGAGTTAAGAAAAGTTAATTAGAGTTGAGTACAGTTGATTAGAGTTGACTTGGTTTAAGTATAGTTGATAAGAGTTGAATTGATTTGAGTAGAGTTGAGTAGAGTTGAGGAGAGTTAAGTAGAGTTGAGTAAAGTTGAGTAGAGTTAAGAAGAGTTAATTAGAGTTGAGTAGTGTTGATTAGAAATAATTAGAGTCAAGTAGAGTTAAGTAGAGTTGAGTAGAGTAGAGTAGAGATAAGTAGAGTTGAGTAGTCTTGATTAGAAATAATTAGAGTTTAGTAGAGTTTAGTAGAGCTGAGTAGAGTTGAGTAGAGTTGAGTAGGGTTGAACGTTGTTCGACGGATTGACTTGACTTGTCGCTTTGACGAGTTCGTAGCTCGGTTCAGAGAATGGCAGAAGTGACTGATGATGCCGACTACGATGCCGGCGAAATGTTTAAGAATGTACAAAGTCCAATGTCTGATGCCGGGAATCATGACAACTAAGGACTAGGTGCGTTCTATTAAGTCGCCCTGACAACAAGACCAAGTTACGACAACGAGGTCAGCCCACTTCTATAAAGCATATTTAACCCTGCATACATAAAGGCATCTCATACTGCTGATTTACTGGTAGTCTCGATACTCTGCTTGCATACGAAAAATAAGTAACGTAGTCAAGTGTTTTAGCAAAAATACGTTTCTCAATCGACAATCCACCCAAAGAATGTGATATGGAAAAAGGCCTGGCCTTCCTTGAAATTCACATCTGCCATGTGACCCAAGGGCACTCGTGACAATTTGGCTGAGTTGTTAACATGTCAAGCTGATATTCTGTATTTTCGTAGTTCGACTCCCTCTGGGGGTGTTGATAAGACCGATTCGAGGTCGAAACTGTAGTCCACTGAAGCCTGGATGGGAATAAGTTTTAGGAAAGCGAGGCAATGTGAAATTCAATGGAAACGTCAGCTCTACTCATATCAGGCCTTAAACGAAATAGAGTGAATACATCTCATATTACATAAATAGATACACGCTTACACGCATACACATGGAT